GGTCCCATCACTTCATGGCAAATAGATGGGGAAACAATGGAAACAGTGACAGACGTTATTTTCTTGGGCTCCAACATCACAGCAGATGGTGACTGCAGTCATGAAATTAAAAGATGCTTGCTCCTTGGAAGAAAAGCTATGACCAATCTAGACAGCATATTAAAAAGCAGAGACATTACTTTTCCAACAAAGGGATTGCAAAGAGTCGGACACGACTGAGTGACTGAACGGAACTGAACCCCCTGTCTTTGAGAGACTCACTTTTGAATCTTTCAAAAACTGAAACCATGGGTCAAACCTTGATAGCACCAGACAGGAGAGAGGTATGGTGTAGTGACCAGGGGTGGTGCACAGCTAGACAGAGCAATGGAAGTTACCTGCCACTCAGAAGGAACCTGCAAATCCACATCCCAAAATTTATGAAGAAATCTAGTGCTAAGCAACTCAGCCAACAATTCAACAACTGTGACAGAAAATGCTTAAAACTAGGAAAAAATAATGTAGCCAAAGGGAGCTGATAAGTTATTTAAAGGAAACAGAACAGATAGCAGAAAATAAAAAGATGAAAGGAGATAATTTCTGATTGCATATAAAAAAGCAGGTGCCACAAAATTAGCATTAGACCAATGAGAATCTAAGGCAGAAGTTAAACCCTTAGTGCTTAGAGTGGGTTGCCATTTCCTTCTCCAGGGGATCTTCCTGACCCAGGGTTCAAACCAGGGTCTCCTGCATTGCAGGCAGACGCTTTACCCTCTAAGCTACCAGAGAAAGTATATGTCTAGAAAAGCATCACTAAATAATTGAAATATTCAAGAAATGTCATAACAGCAGTAAAAAAATTTTGAAATAGATAAGAATAACCTTAAAGTAAATAAAAGGAAGAAGAATAAAAGAAGACAGGAAATAAAATATAAAACTTAAAAACACGCGAGGTAGTTCTTTGGAAGAACTGATTTAATAGAGAAACCACCAGGAAAATTAATCAAGACAAAAGGAGAAAAGGCAGAAAAGAATAATACTGGCAACAGAAAGGAGCCTAACCAGGTAGAGTGGGTATTTAAAAAGAACCACGAAGGCAAACTAAGACAAATGTTTTGAGTAAATTTGAACATAGCTGATGAGCAATTCTGTATACATTGCCCAAACTGATTTAGGCCGGTGAAACCAACAGCCACCAAATGAACTGAATCATTAGTTGACAGCATCTTCCTCCCAATAGCGAGGGATCCACAGCTGGACCTCTTGGCACACTGAGTCTAGGAAATGGCAAAACGTGTTCAAGTAAGGACCATTGCTAGAAGTAGAACCGAAATGCAGCTTTTGTTTCAACCAGCAGTGTTGCTAGAATGCCATCAAGTTCCTGTTTCCTCCGTCCCCATGATTTCCATGTGTCTTGGATTGTTCTTGCTGGAATCTCTAACCTGCTGTCCATTGGGGGTGCAGTGAACGGCCCTCCTACAGAAGGTTCCCACACTTCCCCGACCTCTTTCCTGTCCTCCAAGACCCCGTGACTCTGCGCTGCATCCCGGTGGCTGTGATGACATCCAGTGCCCCTGGGGGCCTGCAGCCTGTCCAAGGTGCCCCCTCAGAGCCCAGCATGGTGCTGTCCCCGAGTGTGTGACTGACCCCAAGTTTGTGTCTCTGCCCCCAGAGTGGCTATTACCTCTCTCCCTGTCAAACCAGCAGTCCTGAACCAGGACTGTCCAGAGGGCCGGGACAACACCACATCCGGGCCAACACCACATCCGGGCCAAGTCCTGCTTGGCCCCCCCGGCAGGCTGACCCAGTGTCAAGGGCACACAGGCAGGCAGGGAGCCTCTGACTCCGCCTGTCGTGGCCCAGTGCCCACCTGCGTCCACTCTCAGCTCAGGTTTCTGCCTTCCAAACCGAGGGGTGCTGTGCTCCCAGACGGCTCACCCTCTGCCCCATGGCAGGTCTGTCCTGGATCACCATCAATCAGCCCTTCCCAAGTCTGCATTTTCTGAAGAAGATATAGACCCACGTTCATTGGAAGAACAGGCTGAAGAAAGCAGGCAGGTGAGTGATGGTCAGGGCTGTGTTTACACTTTTGGAGCCAGCTGTGGGCATGGTTATACTTGGATATATATTTTTTCTTGTGTTTTCACCTAATGAATTGCATTTTTGGTTTATGGCAGTGAATTTGATTATAATTTTGTGTGAACTCTTTAATTCTTTGTGGGATACTTATTACATGGTAAATTATGTTGCTTTACAAAAAATACTCATGGAAAAAGGAACAGGAACCCAATATGATTAATTTTAGCCTCTCATCATCCATTTTGCAGACTGCCTGTCACCAACTCACTGGCTCCTGCTCAGGGGACAATGGCATCTGTGCCTTCCGCTGGTTGTCTTTTGGCCAGAAATCAGTATTATCGAAGTGAGTCATAACAACTCTAGAGGGTGGCCCTAGAGAATATGATCTCAGGTGATGTTTGTGGGGTATAATTAACCTACGTATCATGTCCTATCAGAACTAAAAGGAGAATACTGACAATTCTTTGTGACAGCGAAGAAAATAGGAATAGACCTTATCAGAGACTCCCTGAATCAATAAAAACTGTCAAACCTCATCACTTTGCTTTAACTATGTTTTGTTACAGCCATGAAACCATTAACACATAATTAAGTAAAAATAAGCTTATATTTCACAATTTTGGCAGGGTTGGGGGGAGGGTGGGTGCTTCCCTGGTGGCGCTAATGGCAAAGAATACTCTTGCCAATGCAGGATTTGAGGGTTTCATCCCTGGGTTAGGAAGATCCCCTGGAGGAGGAAATAGCAACTCATTCCCGTGGGTTTTGCTTTCATGTTCCTTGCCTTTAATAGGATACACTAAAACCTGATAATTTTGCATAAATAAAATATTCATTTCTGAGAAAAGAGAAGTAGCACAAGTGTGTTTCAGAGATTCTCTCATTTCCATTTTCTCCTGTGGTTAATAGGTCAGCTTCTACCTGGCCAGTTTTATTTTTATTTATCTCTCCATCTATGAAAATTTATAGCTAAATGGAAAAGTATAGCTTCTCGAAGAAAATTCAGAAATTTCATACAATGAAACAAACAATCATTTCAGAACCAAGCTATCATTTTTTGAAGTCACACCAGCCTGTAGAAAAGTCTTATTTCAAGGGCTGTTTGTAGACAAGAGATGGAAACATCTACTAATTTATTCTCCCCCACCCAAAGTTAAACTATGCCCAAGTTCTTCGAGTTATTACATTCTTAAAAGTTATTTTTCCATTCTTATCTTTTAGAACACTTAGGTTTAAAATACAAGTATGATATGACAAATAAGATGTTTTTCTTTTAAAATGATTCTTTTATTTCGAAATTTGATAACTTCTGTAGGATATTTAAATATAATACATTATATGACTTGTATGCAAGTAATATATTTAATATAGTACAATAATATTCATTCTTGAGTTTGGGCTTTTTAAGATTTTGAATTTGATAATATTTATTGTATATTTTAAATTCTACTTCATATCTGTGTGAGAGTTGTTCACCATGGAAAGGAACACACTTTATTAATAAAAATGTAATATGCATTATTCTGGGAGACTTCTAATTGGCTGGTAATATAACCAAATTTTCAGTTCATAATCCAGGATTAAATGATTTCAGACCATGCTGCTTGAGAGTTTATATGTAAAAATCTGTGTTGGCTTATTATTTATATGCTTGTTTATTATTGTTTCTTTCTTACAGAGGCCAGTGTTTCTTCAGCCACCTCTTTAACTGGCCCTGATTCTGTCAACTTTGTAGGTGATGACAAAGCCCAGCTAGGTATATAGTTTATTTCTTATCAGTATCACCCTCTCTATTTCCCTTTGTTTTTCTTCTCTCAATTGTGTTTGATAAGACCCTGATGTTGGAAAAGATTGAGGGCAGGAGGAGAAGGGGGTTACAGAGGATGAGGTGATTGGATGGCATTACCAACACATGGACAGGAGTTGGAGTGAACTCTGGGAGATGGGTGAAGGGCAGGGAAGCCTGGTGTGCTGCCGTTCATGGGGTCACAAAGAGTCAGATACAACTGAGTGACTGAACAGCAAATGTGAATTTTATTTGATAGGATTACCCGAAGTGGCAGAATCCACCTGGTGGTTTAAATCCTTTTTTCAATCTGTACCTGTGCTTTCAAATGTAAAGAGAGAAGACCAGTCTGCTTGTGGGTAAGTTTTAGTCTTTTCTGATAATATTTCCTTTTCAGATGAAAACAGTGCATGTCATAATTATCACATCAACCAACAGGGATAAAACATGGTCCTCTCTGGAAGGTGAAGTCTTTGAAGTAACCTGTACTTGAGGGCAGAGGTGGGGACACTTTCTTCTAGTTAATCATTAGTCAGATCTGAGCATTCTATCTCCAAAGAGAAATTGAAAACTCATATCTGCTGTTATTATGGTTTAGGGGGAATGGACCAGGAAGCAGAAGCAAGGGACCTTTAGGAACAAATAACCACTCTCTACTCCAATAAGAGGAATCACAGCTCCTTGGAGAAATAGCTGATTCTGGAACAGTAAACAGATTCTGGGACAGTAAAGCAGTAAAAGACAAGCCCGGACCATTTCGTGATGCCCCTGAAGATACAAATGCCCCCAAATGATGGGGATATATTAAAATGACACGGGAATAAATTGGGCACATCTGGGACTATTTCAGCAATATTTTTCCAGTTTACCCTGACTGTGCAGACAACCTAGCTTACAAAGGAGCATTTCTCAGCTGATCATCTTTGCCTTGTGGTTTGGAGGGCAGTGTTATAACAGTTAACTACACTATTCAAAGTATTACTATTGTTTGCAACTCTATGTAATAGCCACCCGCTGAGGCCCCGCAGGTGTGACCCCCGGACCCTTTGGCACCTGAGCTACTCCTGGTGATCTTCTCCTTTATAAGATGATGAAAACCTTTTGGATATCTCACTTATAAGACAAGACCACCACAGACACACAGACGGCAAAAGTTCAGATATTTTCTTCAATGTTGAGAGTATTCCTGCCACCGGTGTCAGCTACATGGAGAACAGTGGAAAAGCCTTTGAAAACACGTGACCTTCAAATATAGAGATTCGTGTGAAATAGCCTTTTCATTACCCTTGTAATTTTTCAAATTTTTTAAGAATCGAAAATTGTGTGTTAATTTTCAAAAAAGTTGTTAAACTCTCATTACATCTGTTAATTGTTTTATTATGCCTGAAAACTGAAGCATTCATGCCTAACACAATTGTTTTAAGAGCCCTGGATTCAGAAGTGTAAAAAAAGAGTTGCAGAAATTGTATTTTTATTCATGAACCTTGGAAGTAGAAAACAAATCCATAAATACATTATCTGTTAAATACATTACTGTACATAATTGGTTATGTAGACTTTAAAATTCATGATTGTAAATTATTTTCAACAACATGGAAAACCATAATGATATCAAGTTGGATGAAAAAAAGGAGGATAATCTGTATATGGATGGCGTGAACTTTTTTGTATTTAAAAGGTTTATATGCTTAAGAGTAGATTGGAAGGAAATAGATCAAAATGGTAACTGGTTATTTTCAGAGATGGGAGTTTGGGTGGTTTTCATTTTCTTCTTTGTATTTTTCTGTACCTTTTCAAATTGACTAATATGAGCATGTTTTTGTGTATAATTTGGAATACGTAGAGGAGGGCTGGAATGCACTTTTTGAATGTGAATATTCCTGACATCGGATAGAATATTCCTACTTTCCTTCATGTTTGGTAGATAATGCTAAAGGAGTTTCAGCTGAAGATTTTCTGATACTGCTTGCAGATATCTTTCAAAGTAAGATGCCAGTCCTAGCAGTTAGGGATGCTACGGTTCACTCAGAGGTAGACATCAGTACCTGCTGGTGTGGCTGGTGATACACTAAACACCCAAAGGGAGCACTGTCTTTCTGCCCAACCACAGGACCAGGCAGCCACGGCAGGGTGGCTTCCTCAGTGATGTACACCGCACCAGCCTTCACCGGTCCCTCCAGATGGGCTGTGTCCTCCTTCTAAGTCACGTTCCTCCGTCACTTTGCTGTCAGAAGGGATTCAAACATCCCTGTGGCCCAATAGTACTTCATTGCTGACACATCACTGCTCTTCTAATGGTCACTTGCCTTTGCACTTTTTATGCATTTGTGGAGGCTCATTAAACCTTTGAGTTCTCCATTTCATTTGCCTTTACTCTAAAAGCAAATTAGCATGATTGAAGACTGAATTTCTCCAAAGTGAGAGAAAAATACGGTGTAACAAAATGGTAAATTGTGGGGGGGTTTATTTTTAATTTGAGATTATTAGCAAATTCCTTTTTTTGTAATCACTTGGGATATGTGTGAACAGATGGCTTGTTTAGTTTATTGGATAAATTTCCACAAATAAGCTATCAAGTCGGTATTTACTTTGTCTACTTAGAAAGATACTGTTTGTTAAGTTACACTTTTGCCTTTGTGTTTGCAGTATTTTTAATGTGTTTAATGCTACTGTTACTGAAAGTTATTATTGTTTAAGATAGTTAAATTTTACATAAGGTTTTAAGTCCAACATATTATCATGAACATATATAGTTATTAAGCACTTTAATACACACACACACACACACACACACACACTACATCTATCTGTGCAGATTTGTAATTGCCAGATAGATAGATGTATAGCTATAGATCCTCTGAAAAATATTAGGAATCTTTCCAAAAAATAATGTTAAAGTGAACTCATACAATGATTGGCTTCCCTGGTGGCTCAGTCAGTAAGGAATCTGCCTGCAATGCAGGACACCCAAGTTCAGTCCCTGGGTCAGCAGGATCCCTTTGAGAAGGAAATGGCAACCCACTCCAGTATTCTTGCCTGAAGAATCCCATGGACAGAGGAGCTTGGTGGCTGAAGTCCATGGGGTCGCAAAGAATCGGACACGATTTTGCGACTATACCACATATAATAATTAAAAACTGAAAGGCTTGCTTTGTGCTATTTCAGAGTTTCTACAGACTTATGATGATACAAATAGTGACAACAAAATGTCTCCTAGGTAAATTCTAGATTCTAATGCAATTGTCCCACCATTCAGACACTTTGGGGCTGTCTTTAAAAAGTACCTCAGAAGTAGGTCTCAGCATAACTGTTGTTTTAGTTAAAACATCTCCTGGCTTTGCCGCCTACTGAGGAGATAATAAATAGTAAAGCTAATTATGTCAGAGGGGTGTTCATGTGATCTGAAACATACTATGATCATTCTAGTGTGATTTATGAAGTGTTATTTGACTGTACCTGGATGTTGGTATCAAATGAAACAAAGCTTTGATAATTTGCCCTAATTTTCTGTGAAATTTTATGTTGCAATTCCACTAACCTTTTTGAGAAGTGGTTTTGATGGCAGGTTGGACATTATTGGCCCCATATTCATTACAGATAAAGCCGCCAACAGCCAGTCCAACTGTCTCTGAAGTCCTCCTGCTGGAGTTTAGGCCTATTTGATGCTTCATACATTTTGCAGAAGTTAGGGTTGTTAGGCCAATACTTTGGCCATCTGATGCAAACAGCTGACTCATTGGGAAAGACCCTGATGCTGGGAAAGATTGCAGGCAAATGGAGAAGAGGGCAGCAGAAGCTGAAATGGTTGGAAGGCATCACCTATTCAATGGACACGAACTTGGGCAAACTCTGGGAGATAGTGAAGGACAGAGAGGCCTGGCATACTGCAGTCCATGGGATCACAAAGAGTTGGGCATGACTTAGTGACTGAACAGCAACAACAAGGGTTGTGAGAAACAAAATTGCAGAATTCCATTGGGTTACTAGAGAGTGAGGATATAAATAATTGTCCAGGTTGAACAGTGTAGAGCTAAACTTCTAACTCATAGACATTCAAGAAATGGAGACAATCATAATTAATCCACCACCGCCTCCCAACAGCATTCTCTGAGGCCCACACTGTCCCCTATAGTTGGGACTGGCAGCTCTAATCATCAGCCCAGATGACTAGGGAGATGAAGTTCCCTTATGACTGATCCAACACCAAGCCCTTTAAATTTCATTCTGTGTGTTTTTAGGATCTACCTACTCATTTCCTTTCCCACCATCACTACCTGAATCCAAATTGCAATTGTGTCTCCTGAGGGCACTGCCAGGACATCCTTTGTGGTCCACCTGTGTCCTTTCTAAATCTCTTCTATAGATAAATCACAGTCATCTTCACAAAACTCAAATCTGGTAACTTTCTCCTATGAATACAAGAACAGGCATACTCACACCTTCACAACATCGATGGTTCTATTACACTCAGGATAAAGTCACACTCCGGCCCCCATCCCATCCTGCCGCATATTCTAGCCACATAGATCCATCCCACCCACTCCTGTCTCTCATGTCCCCAGTGCCCAATGGTCCAGCCCCATCAATCATCCTCTGTCCGTCCTTCTGGCACTGTCTTCCCTCCTGCCAAGGGGCATCCCCAGCCCCCACTCTATTCCCTTAATTCATGTCTATGCATCTTAAATCTTAGCTCAAAAGCCTCTTCCCCAGAGAAACCTCTGATCTACTTAACTAAATTAGATGTTCCATCATAGGCGCTGATAGCCTGTGTTTCTCTCCTGCTCGGCACTCACCACAGTTATAATTTTACATGTGTCGTGTTACGTCTTTTCTCCACAGCACCATAATATACGTCTTCCCCACTGCACCATAAACCACATGAGGACAAGGATCACGTCTGCTCTCCTTGACATTTTATCCCCAGCTTGTGACACAACAATAAATATTGGTCAGATGAATGACACTGCTTCTTTGGCTAGAGCTGGGCTCTTCCCAAGAAGCGTCACATTTTAACAGAGAAGAGTAAACACTAAATCAACATGGAATATAGTTTCCCGCAGTGGTACATGCTGTAAAGGAGATAAAACAAGGTGTTATGTCGAAGTGCAACTAGGCCAGGACAGAGGTTGAGGCAGAGAGGCTTTGATTGGTTTGATTAGGAGAGGACTCACAGGCAAGGTGGCCAGGGACTGGGTCTTGAGGGGGGAAGTGGCCACCTTTGTGGAAGGCGCTCTAGCGGGCACCAGACTGTGACTGACCACGCTGTCCACCTGTTTCCAGTACCTTGTGACACTGTTGTCAGGGGACAGCAGCTTTGGGTAAGTTTGGTGTTCTCCTTGTGGAGGTCACATGGTCTACAGCATTGCTTCCAACTGAGCCCAGGATGAGAAATGGTGGGGCCTGGGGTTCTGTGCTTCCTTCTTAAGAAATCTGTGATCTAGTGAATTGTTGAAAGGCACTCTGTGCAGTAACAGTGTGAAGCCAGATCACCCAAAAGCCCTCCCCACCAGGGTCTCCGTTCTCAGAAGTCATCGTCTTCCCACCTCTCATACCAAGTATGCGCTTATTTGTTTTTTGCTACTTTCTGTTCAAAACATAGAGCTGTTCTGTATGACCTAGAAAAATAGAGTACTACACAGTTACTCTCCTTTCTTAATAGTTTTGAAAGAATGTATTTTAGGTTTGGCACCTGAAAATTGTTTTCATGTTACAGAATAATTATTTGTTTCTCAAAATGTTGATAGAGGAAGGGAGGCATGCATGCATGCTAAGTCACTTCAGTCATATTGGACTCTTTGAGACTGTAGTCCACCAGGTTCCTCTGTCTATGAGATTCTCCAGGCAAGAATACTGGAGTGGGTTGCCATGACCTCCTCCAGGGGATCTTTCCTACCCAGGGACTGAAACCATGTCTTCTGCATTGCAGGCAGATTAGTGACCATCTGAACCAGCAAGGAAGCCCTTTATCTAGCATCAGTGGAATGTGAAAGTTTTGCTTCAACATATTTTAATTGGATATACTGAAACTTATTTGCCTCCAGGTTGTAAACACAAAATATATTAAATCCTTTGCGCTATAGTAATTATTTGACTAAGAGCCACAGAGTGTGAGTTTCATAAATATTTTATCCTTTTTTACATGCTTAGCAGAGGTTTTTGAATTAATAAATGAATGGTTACTGGAAATACATTTTGGATGCCAACTCAAGCAACGGTTAGGATGTTGAAATTCCTTTGCAAGGAAGAGAGACGAACATTCTATTTTCAAAAAACTACCTTTGAAAATATTTGTGCAGTCTTAAAAAAACTCTTTGAGGGAGCTATCTGTCTTCAGATCTCAAGTTAAATTTCACATGAGAAGAGAATACAGAGGAAGGCCACCAAGTAGTTGTATCATGTTACTTTGTCCTATGTCATCCTTGATAGATTCCAATGCTCATCCATCTTCTGGTATCGCTGATGCTGCTGAGCATCCTGGAGGAGACCACATTCCCTCTTATACATAGAGGATCCTTCCTCTGAGCTTCGTCAGGTTGGCTCCACTCGGGGCGGTCCCTGAGGTGGGAGCTCGTCTATCTGATGATGAATCAAAGAGCTGAAAGAAGACTGAATTCTGGAATCTGTGGGAGCTGTATCCCCAACTGAGAGCAAATTAGACTTCATCCCCAGCAGCACTGTAGAAGAGGAAGAGGGATTTGGGGGTCTATGGGGTTAATAAATTTTTCTTAAATATATTTAAAAAGTTTAACCAATCTGTAACAGGTCAACTAATTCCAATTCAAGTATTTTCCTTTTGGAAACCACCTTTTACAGGATTCCAGAATCCTCCTCCTTTCAGAATTCTAAAAATAATAAATTTTAATATTTTAGAAAGTATTAAATTTCAAAATATTGACTCTCTCCAGCAAGTTATTATAACTCATTACTTGCAGTGTTTCCTTGAAGCACTGTGTTTCTTCAGATGGAAGTAGCAGCTTCTCTGATGCTAAATGATTAAAAGCACAGGTGACAGACAGACAGGCTGGACATATATTACAAAAGTATATAAACCTCATAAAAGCCTTGGACGTTGCCTAAAAAGGAAGCAATTTGTTTGAGCAAAACTGCAACCCTGCAATTCTCAAAATCTGGTGCATCTAAGAACCGTGTGAGGAGCCTGATAAAATGCAGACACGGGGCTCCATCTCCAGGAATCTGAAATCAAGGGCCCTGAGCTGCAGCCTGGGGATTTATTCTCTGCTGAGGCTCCTGGTGACTTGTAACTGATGTGCAAAGTTGCGCTTTCTGCTGTGGTACATATACATATGGAATATTACTCAGCCATTGAAAAGAATACATTTGAATCAGTTCTAATGAGGTGGATGACACTGGAGCCTATTATACAGAGCGAAGTAAGCCAGAAAGAAAAATACCAATACAGTATACTAATGCATGTATATGGAATTTAGAAAGATGGTAACGATAACCCTGTATGCGAGACAGCAAAAGAGACACACATGTATAGCACAGGCTTTTGGACTCTGTGGGAGAGGGTGAGGGTGGGATGGTTTGGGAGAATGGCACTGAAACATGTATATTATCATATGTGAAACAAATTGCCAGTCCAGGTTCGATGCATGATACATGGTGTTCGGGGCTGGTGCACTGGGATGACCCAGAGGGATGGGATGGGCAGGGAAGTGGCGGGGGGGTGTTCAGGATGGGAAACACATGTACACCCATGGCGGATTCATG